TTTTGGGGGGGGGGGGGCTGTTTTTAAAATTTCATTTATACTTTGACATTTCACTTTATAGTGAATTAGGTTCAGCCACCAAAAGGGGAACTAGTCTAAATGTGTAGAACATATTTTGAGCTAAACACATCATAATCTTTCTTCAACTCATCTTTTCCTCAGAGGGGGAGATTAATTCTTTACCTGCTATTCTTAAAACCTTGAATGTGCTTATTGTATTTACTAAAAAACACTAATTGATGACTCTCTAATTGGTAATTGAGCTCTCTTTTGTATTTGGTCCATTTAAAGCTACCAGAGACAGAGAGGCAGAGAGAATATCAAGATTTGTGTTTATGAAGTTTATTGCTGCCCTAACTCCCTGCCTTATTTGCTCCATTTTTGTAGCTTGATGATTCCTACTCCAAGTTCTCTTCAGCCCCAGGTTGCATAGGAGCCTCTTCTGGAGCTCTTGGGGTCCACTGTGCATGCCTCTAATGCTGCACTTGTCACATTGTTAGAAGCTATTGATTCACTTCCCTGTCTCTCCCATTGAGGGTTGGGACCTCAGAACTTAGCACAGGCTAACAGTCACAATGCATGTTTTTTGAATGTGTGATGAATAAATCATTTTTAACTGCAAAAAAAGGCTATATAAAATAGTTGTGTCACTAGTCATGTGGATGCTGAGACATGTGGAAAGTGCTGTGGAGGAAAGAAGCTAAGGCAAAAATAAACATGAGACTAAAAGTCGGAAGACCTGCAGTGTGAAATGAACAAGTAAACTTGTCCCTCAGTCCCAGTTTCCCTCTCTGCACAGTTGAGATTGGACCGGATGTTCATCAGTTTCTTGCAGCTGTTCAAGCCTTTGATTACTGGAATTTATGAGAGTTCCCATTGTGTTTGAGGAGGATGGGCTATTTGTGTGGATCCTTAGTTGGGCTTTGCCCCCCTTTCAATTGTTGGCTTTTATCCATATTATCAGAGTCCCGTCATCTATTCATAGGAAAGTTAAAGTGTGATGATCTGTATAACAAAATGCACAATGTTTATATAAGGCCTTTTATAAAATTAAATAATATTTGTAAAATGTATTATAGTTATCACCAGTCTTTCAGGACTCATATCCATTGCACATACTCTTTTACACACATAACCCATGTGATCCTCATGGTCTACCCTCTGATGGAGGTAGACAAATAGTCTTCCTGTTTACACATGAGGTAATTAAGCCATGGTGAAATTTAAGTTGACTTGTTTAGGCCCAGGGACTAATAAGTGACTGAGTGGGAACTTAACAGACATTGTGACTCAAAAATTTTATTTTTCTTCTCTATTATGTTCAGAGATTTTTGGATGATAAATATATACGTCGTCTTAGAAGGTTTTTGTTAAAAATATTAAACTTGTTTTTTTTAAATAGAAAAAACTGGAGAGGTTGATAAGAAAAGATGAAGTCAGGCTATCTAAAATGTTTCTGCAAAGTTGGTCATCTTTAATATGATCCAGAAGAAATGCAAGAGAACTGACTTTACCCAAAGAGAGTGACCCCGGACTTTCTGCAATGTGGAAATGTTCTGAGTCTGTGTCACCTGGTACCGTGACCACCAGTCACATGTGGTTATTGAACATTTGAAATGGAGCTAAGTGACTAAGGAATGGAATTTTGAATTCTATTTAATTTTAACTAAGTTTAAATAGTCACCTGTGGCTAGTGGCCATGGTGTTGGACAGAACAACTCTGGACAAATCTGTCAAACTCCAGGTTACAGTTTTCCTCATCTATAAAATGAGAGGATTAGATTAGCTGACCTCTAAAGTTCCTTTCAGTTTTAGAAATATACAGCCTGTGCCTTCTGAAATTGTAACAACTGAAATTGAACTCTGAACCTAGTATTTCTGCAGAATGGTCTTTGAGTCACATTTTGTCTACTTTCAGTTTTAATTGGGTGACCGGGATCCAGGATGAGATGGATTGGAAGGAAAATCAGTATTTGAGCATATCTGCTCAGTGCTGTGTCTGAATAGAGATGATACTGGAGAAGAATACAGATTCCAAATAGAAATAACCCTGTCTGGCATTATCTTTTGTATCTATACAGAGAATTATTATTTTTAACAGTTCTTTGTGTTGTGCCTTGCTTTCTTTTAAGATGATTAGAATAGAGTGACCAAATGGTGCTGTTTTTTCTGTGAGAGGGAAATAGACTGAAGAAGTCATGCTAACTTTTTTCAGTAGGTGTCTTCCATTTTGCATGTCTTCATATCAGAGGAGGAAATTTTATAGTTTCCTGAAATATGTATCTCTTGGTTAGCAGTGGAAACCATTCTTCTGAGCTGTTGAGTAGTCCAATTTTACTGAGCTAACATTTCAAAGACTCCTCGAACCTATGCTTTTAGAATACTGTCTGGTAAATATACTTTTGCTTTAAAAGAAGGGAACAGATCTTTGTAAATATAATTTTCTGAAAACCGCTATGAAAGAGACTTACTCTTGTGAGTAATTTTTGCCTTCTAGATGGACCAGCTCCAATGTCTCATATTTAAATGTTTTGATACCATAGAATCTCAAAACGACTTTTGTATTAAACTAGGATTTCTTTTATAATTGTAAAAGTATCAAAGCTCTTCACTGAAATGGCCCTCTCTCACCTCGGCCATTAGAACTGATGTCATATTAACTCATGGTCTGTTGCTTTAAGAAATCTGATTCAGTGAAAAGGTGAGTATTAATAGGTCTGTTTGTTCTTGTTTGGCATTGTGGATACTTTTTGTTCCCTATTTTTGTTCTTTTGCAATTCCACTGATGTAGGAATGTTCTGCAATTATGTAGCATTTCTCTAAATACCATTGTTAGTGAAATAAAAGCACTCTGGCTAGAAGTCTAAGATCTTTCTTTTAAGCTCTGATGCTGGAATCTCCAGATCAGAACTAACACACAAAATAAGGTGGTGCCCTTTTACCTACTGGGGTAGCCCAGCTCTTCTGCAAGGTAGTTTTTCCCAACCTTTTTCCGGCCATGACACACATAGAAGATTACAGTATTTTTATGTCTCACTGCAGGAAAATCAGCTGCTTTGGCTAGAAACTTTGGAGCCCCTAGGGCAAAGGGTTACTTTCTGACTACCCATATTGGAGCACAGCTCTCCATGTTTGTGAGGCAGGGCTCCACCTCACAACTACCAGATCCCAGTCTCATCTGACTCTAGCAGCAGTGTAGACACTTCTCAGAGTTATTATGCACATTCTTCCCCAAAATAAAACTTATCTGTAAATGAAAAAATTATTTCTTCTGTATTTCGTTTGTTAAATCTGAGATTGGGAATTTTTTTCTACTTTCTCTCGAATTTTTTCTTCATCTTCCCCAAAACTGGAATATAGTGCTTTATAAGCTTTCTAGATCCAGAGAAGCTCTAGGCTAAATTGCTACCTCCTCACCTCTAAGAGTTGAGCCTGAGAGGTCAGAGGTACTTAATGTAAAGGTGTGCAGCTAATTAATCATAGAGCTGGAGTCAGAACCCATGTCTACCAATTCCTAGTCAGCTTTGCCTTGGTGTGCTTGGAATTCGGATTTGAACATTAATTTTTATGGATTTTTCTATAAAATGTTTGGTGAAAAACACTTGGTTCTAGCCTGGCTATATTGCCCATGATTTGGGGCACGGTCTGTAGTATCATAAGACATTTTTAAAAACCTTGGATGTTTCCTCTTACCTTTCCACTTATTTCTTTTAGGTTCACGTTTTGATTCCCCCTGGAGAAGGGCTCTTGAGATGGCAGCTTGTTGGACACATGGATTTTCTTCAGATTTATACTACTGCTGGCTCTGATTTGGTGTGCTGGTGGAGAGCCAGACAAGTTCCCTTGCTTCTGTGTCAAAACAACTTTGTACTGAGCATTTATTTACGTGACCTCTTCTCCCTTCCATTGTGTAACCTTTTTGCCTTCCAAATTAAACTCCATGCCATTCCTTTCTGTGTCTCTGGCTCTGTTTTGGGGTTTTATTCTTTATTGGTATCAGACTCCTTTTTTTCCTTCAGTCCTCTGTGCAAAGTTGATAACTTGCAACCAAATCTTCCTTTAAGTGTTTTCATTAAGTGTATTTGAAGTTAATGACAAAAGGCAGTGCTGACAACCCCCCGAAAAGGCAGTCCTTTGTCTTTTTCCTGGAGCTGGTAATCCTTTACTAATCTTTCAGTTGTTACCGGTGGGTCCCTTCTTATGACACAGTGCATTCCTGGAACTGTGTCATTAAGCACTTTGTTAGAAATTCAACTGTTTGCTTCCACATTTATAGCTGTTTTGATAGGCTTTAGCGGTGAAAAGTGAAGTATGTGTCCCTTAGGCACTGTAAGCAGAGTGCAAAGTGGAGGGTTTTGTGTATATGTTTATTTATAGGATACAGTACTCTCCAAACCGCCTTCACAATTCTCTCATTTTATTCTTTTGATTATCTCAGGGATTCCAATCCTTATTAGATGGAGAAATTGAAGCTTAGATTTGTAACTTAAGATCAGAGTCGAGGATACAGCTTGGGTAGAGTAATAGGTCTGCTGGCCAAAGCCTAGCCATGATATATGCATCATGCTAGCAGATTTCCATCTTGGATGTTATATAAAGGAAATAAGCTATGTTGAGAATTCCACTATTTAAATCAGGAGTGGGGAACCTATTTCTGCCAAGGGCCATTTGGGTATAACATTCACAGGCTATACAAAATTATCAACTTAAAAGTTAGCTATGAAAATGGCACCCAGATTTACTGAATTTTGAGTCCTGCCTGTGGTTTCCTTGGCAGGGCCAGACCAAATGATTTCAACCCTATAGGGCCTGTGCTGGATGCTCCCCACCCCTGATTTAAATTTGACTACTGAGATGATGAGTTGTCCTGCAGAAGTTCTCAATTTGGCTGCAAATAGAATCCCTCTGGGATATTAAAAACAAAATCTGGTGTTTTTAAGGTCACAACTCAGACCAAGTAAATGTCTTTGGGAGCGGCATCTGTACCTTGCATTAGCTACCCATGTGATTCTCATGTGCAGCCAAGTCAGAGAAGCACTGATCCGAGTTCTTGCTACTCAAAATGGAGTCCATTGGTCAGCAGTATTGACATCACCTAGGAGCTTATTTGAAAAGGAGACAAGTCCACCCCAGACCCTACTGAAGCAGAGTATTTTAACATGGTCCCCAGGAAATTCATGTGCATATTGAAGTTTGAGAAGTGCTAATCTAGAGCAGTACTCAAATTTTGGTGTATATCACAATTACATGGGAACTTGATAAAAAGCTTGGGCTTCTGTGTTTATTAGTGCTCCATGTAACTTTGATACACAATTAAGTTTGAGAACAGCTTTAGATCAAGAGTTGGCAAATTTTTTCTTAAATATATAGGCATGGTTATATTTCAGTAAAACTGTTTACAAAAAAGTTGGCCATGGTTTGCCATTCCCAGGGATACAAGTTCACTAAAATAATGATTGGTCAATTTAATTTGCTTAAAAACTTTTCTATACAGATATCATATAGCTTTATTAGGAGGCTTCTGGAATATTTTTAGTCCAAATCAATAAACAAGAGATACATGGGACAGGTGCTATATTCCCATTTATCGGATTAGCTCTTGTCTCAGGTGATTTACTCAAGCCAGTTGCCATCAGTCAACAGGAAGCATTTGTCTTTGGTGTGTCTTTTCACTATTTGCAATAGTGCTGGTGGCAGGGAGAATGGCACCTGGTGGTAGATTGGTGGGGTCAGACTGGACCCCGGCTCAGCAACCTTGGTACTTGAGTTCTGAGTAGGAAAGAATTCAAAGCCAAGACTCAAACTACAAGAGAATGTTTATTTAGGAAGTCACAGAGGTAGAAGAAGTGAGCTGTAGAAGAAATGGGCTCAGGGAACAAGTTACAGAGGCAAAAGAAGGGTCCTTGGAGCTTATGAGAGAGGAAGGTAATGGTAATGCTCCTGGGGGAAGAAGAAGGGGAGAGGAAAGGCTCAGGCGTGAGGGAGAGCAAGGTGGGTCCTCCTTCCTTAGGGCTTTTGAGGGCCGGGATTTTAGGAGAGGTCCTAGGGGAGGATCCCAATAGAATATTCACCCAGCTTTCCAGGTGTGTCCTTTCAGGGTTGGGGGTCTCCACTGATTGGTCGGCACCAGGGCACGGGATCATTAGTAAATACAGCTGGTCCTGAGGTCAGCCATGGTGTTCCTTGTCAGGTTTTGCTGCTTTTCTGGACCTGGGGCCGAAATACAACTGAGGCCTAGATGTTATCTCTAGGGAGAAAAGGTAAAGGGGTCTAAACCCATGACCAGCAACCTATGCTAGGGGAGGAAATGTCACTCTGGGGATGAGGGAGGTCACACTCTACAATTGTCTGTTGCTAAGGCACCCAGGGTTTAACACCCTGGTGACCTTCTGTGCCTGGCCCATAGTCCTTGTATCTGTCTAGCTTTCTACCACATTAGGACAAAAGCTTCTAGACTGTTTTTGGAGTCTTGAGTTTAAATTTAATTAAAAGCTCATTACAAGTGACATTTTTTTAAGCTTCTATTGACTTGCTCAGTGGTTCTCAACTCTATACAAAAGAACCAGCTGTGGAACTATTCATTCAAGTTTAAAAAAGTGCATCACCCCCATCCTCTCCCCTCTGATTCTTAGGTGTTTTCTTTTAGCTGAAGTAGCTAAAGACATGGTAGATGAGAGGCACTGAACCAGGATAGGTAATCTGTTCATTAGATGCCTCTTCCTGTCTCTGGGCCTCTCTTAATACCCACTGGCTGTATTGTCATGATGCCACTCAATGGGTCTTACACATGGGTGCTCAATACAGCATGTTGAGCAAGTGGATTTTGAGTACAATGGGATAGAGAGGGAGGTATATCCTAGCATTTCTTTTTGCCTCTAGCTCAACATCTTTATGGGTGGGTTTATTTTTATTTTTTGTGCTCTTTTGTGGAGCCGGAAGCCATTGCCACAAGCACTGTACATAGTCTGTTCCCTGCCATTCTTTGCAGTGGCAGAAAGCCCAGCCTGGAGCACCTTCTGCCCACACATTTCCTGTCTCCTCTATCACGTGGAAACCATCTCTTGTGTTTTCTTCTCTTAGCAGCCTATACCTTTGGCCTCTTTGATCACATCTTTTCATCTTGTGCTTCAAAACACTTTTAAAATGATGGTTGGGAAATACTTGGGGAGCTCACAGAGACCTGTTCCCTGGTTTTGGAGGCCCAGCAAGCTAGCACTGGCCGGTCACTTGAGGCTGAAGAGCTTGCATACAAACTCATTGTCACGCTGCTGTCCTCCCATCTTGGTGGCTTACAGCTCTGGGCATCTAGACTGAAGTTTCAGTGCTATATACCTTCCTAACTACATTTCATTAAAAAAATTTAACAAATACAAAATGTGGATTTCTCCTGTGGGGGAAAACAACATTTCCCTCAACAGGGATCTTAGATGAGGGAATGAGACTAAAGGAGGTGAAAGCGTATGAAGAACTAAATAAAAGAATATTTTACTTGCTTACACTGAATTAATAGGTGGGTCCAAGCTTATGCAAACCTTATGTCAATAGGATGAAAAAGAGGTATGTTTTTAAACCACCAGAGAGGCAACCTGGTGTTGCAGAAAGTACTGCTTGAAGGTATTGATTCAAGGACCTGTTCTGCCATTTATTTTGTCTGCAGACCTTTTGTGGACCTTTTGTCTCTAAAATTTTGCAAATAAGTAGTCCCCTAGGCACTGTGCTGTGTAGAGCATGGGAATCTAAAAGATGGGACAGCCCTTGCTGTCCTGAGTGAGTGTGTTAACACTGACCATCTGCCACATGACTGACATGGTATTAAGCATCCTCCTGTCATTTATGTTTCCCTATAATTCCATGAGGTCGGGTGGTGACATTCTCCTTTTTCAGATGAAATAGAAACTCAGTTTGCAAGTGTTGGGGTTTGACTCTTATTTCCCTCTGATTCCAGAGCATTTGGATTAGGCTTTGGATGAGATAAAATAGTAAGCAAGGGGATAATAATACTTCACGTGGTTGTCCCAACAAAATGTAAGTGAAAGTACCTTGTTAATGTAACTGCTCTGCAAATGCATCAGTACTGTCCTAGCAGTCCTCAGAAATGCTGAGAACTATTTCTCCCTCAGCGGCATGGCCAGGCTTACCGGCTTTCAGCTGAAGGACTGGTCGGTGGCAGACCTTCCTCTTTCCCGAGGAGAGAGTCCTCCCTAGGAGCCCCCATTAGGGCCTGCTATTCAGGCCTGCTCTGCCTTATTAAATCCCTGGGATGAACAATTTTGTTTTTAACTTTTTATTAATGAAATGTTCACACACACACACACACACACACACACACACACGAGATGAGTAAAATAGCCCTATCTGGTTTGGCTCAGTGGTTAGAGTGTCGGCCCGCGGACTGAAGGGTCTCAGTTCGATTCCAGTCAAGGACACATACCTCAGTTGCAGGCTTAATCCTCAGTGCCCCACATGCAGGAGGCAACCAATCAATGTGTCTCTCTCACATCGATGTTTCTCTCTCTCCCTTCCTCTCTCTGAAAAGCATGGGAAAAATATCCTTGGGTGAGCATTAAAAAAAAAAAAAAAGATGAGTGAAATAAACTCCCATATACCCAACATTCAGCTTTAGCAATTTTCAGTGTTTTACCTCAATCTAGTAGCAGCATATTAATAAAAGACGTCTTGGTGAAGGAGTTAATTCTTTCTACTATGCTGTCATTTAGTTAAAAAAATATTTGAGTGCCCATTCTGTATCTGTTATTAGAGATACACAGGTGATCAGAACAGATAGCGTGCCTCCCTTTTCTGAGCCTTAAATTCTAGTTGAAATGAGAGCCAAATTAGCATTGATAGAATCATGTTGTTGTAAGTGAAAGAAATAAACAGTATGATGTGATCTTAAATGGGGATGGGGAGGGAGCTGCTTAGATGCAGTGACCAGGAAAGACCTCTCTGAGC